ATACGGCAACAGCAGATCCTCAGTCGACTGTTTTTTGTGCCTCCAAATGAGACTGAAAGAAGTGTTGTTGTTGAAATCTACCAAGAACCGGGTGACGAAGCAACAACTGTAAGATTCCCTTTTTTAAGTACCACCATTCAATGTTTTATGAAAAGAACACATATACATGCATACATACACACATACATACCTACATACATACAAAAATGAACACACAAATAGAGACTCGACAGTATGCGTTTTATACAATTGCTGCAGCATAAAATGCATAAAAACGGTCTACAATGACATTCAGCCCAGTTAGAATACGGTATTTGGAGTCAGCGTGCTGTAGGAATACCGTAAGAAACCAAACACACTTCAATGATTTGGTTTTTTAATGGCAAAGTGGTTTTGGCATGTCTAAGTTTAACTGGATATTCAATTTGCTTTTTTTTTGCTTCATAATTTGCTGACGCTTTTCATCGCTTCATCACAGTCTAGAACTGGTAACACGGGGAAGCAGACGGTGATGCCCAACAGGCACCAAGAACAACCCTTACATCGGCTAAAACCTTGTCAAGTGCTTTCGTAGAAAAGACGGCTGACCAGCGGAAACGAACGATAGAATCGCCAGCAGACTGACCATCAGGAGGTGCAGCATCGGTTAAAGCATCTGGGAATGTTCTAGCTGTAAAACTGAAGGACCACGCACCATGAGTTGTAGCTGATCAAAATGGTTGCTTGCGAGTGGAAATTTGAATTTAGATATTTTATGGTTATGGAAAAGATCGTGAAAAAAGTAGAAACAGAAAATAAAAATAAAAAACAACAGTATAAGCAGCCTAACAGTATAAGCAGCCTTATCAACGTTTGTGGTACAGCTTGCACCATAAAGGACAGTCTTCGTTTCTCTTCGAAAATGATCCGAAAAAGAAGGGGGAATCTAAGTTTCGATTTTTACAATGCCAGTACAGTTTTTCACACTTTTTTTGTAGGAAAAAAATGATATTTCATTGGAAAGCGGTATGGAAAGCTTGATTCAGTCTCATGGAGACGACGGCGGCAGCAGCAGCACAGGTTTGGAGAATTTCATGAAAACTTTGTAGGTAACAGACAGTGAACAAGCTATGGGACAAAAAAACACACCTCTAATTCATTTGTTTCGATGATAAATTGATACTGGCATATGGCATAAAGTCAAATCCATCATCATCTTGCTTGCAAACAACTCTTAAAATAAAGAGCAATTGACAGTCTTGCCAAAGGGTGGCTACTTTTAACACTGCTCGCATTATTTCAAAACACCTCTTCTTCAAGTACAGTAAGAATATGGGGGCAATTTTGGCTTATTTTGACTTCTGTGATCGGAACTAATATTCATGGCATAAACCATCAAAAACTTTAAAGATTTATGCTAATCAATTACTTTCCTTGTT